AGTCGGATCGGGAGCATTTGGAAAAGTAATTCACGACGCCATTCTTCGCGATCCCCCCCCTCCCCGTTCACCTCCTCCGGTCGTGTCCCGCCGCCACCCCCGTCGCGACTGTAAGCGGTGGTCTCGCACCGAAACCTCAATCCATCCTCTCTTCCCCGCCCCATTTCTCCCAGAGCGAACTGCATCCGCGGATAACGCGAACGAGAAATTTCACAAGCGAACTCGCGCTAATTCCGTAGGAATTCGAATGCTGGTTAAACTGTTATACAAGATATGTGGCCGCGCGCCCGTACCAAAGACAGAAGAGACGCGGAAATAGCCGGGGAAGCCATATAATGTTAAAGTTTCAATTATAACGCCGAGAACGAACGACTTGCGGCTCGAATTACGAAGGGGTGCACCAAATTCCGAAGCAGCGGAACACGCGAACCGCGAACCGTTTGAAAACGACGAAATTTATTTCTGAAATTATCTATTAATAGGCTTTTAGATGCAATAATAACGACATAATGTCCCTGACAACATCTTCGAATAGAATTCGAATAGTTGTAATCGTTATTATTTATGACACAATGATGACAAAAATGATGGATTTGCTTTATAAAAATATTAGAAAGTTTCAAAAACATATCATTTTTTTCTTAATTATTCCATCAGTTATCAAATGTTTTTTATAACAACAAATCCGCGTATTTATCAGCAGCGTGATTTTTATTTCTACGGTGCGGCTTTTCCGTCGGCTCGTTAGTTGTTTAAACAGAAAGCGCGCTTATAATTTATTTCTATCTCGAATTTCCGTCTCCGTTCGGACAACATCAAACTCGCGTAGAGAGGCGGCCGGTCTCGTCACCGATAGAGACAACGGGAAATTCATCGGCGATGTCATATTTGGCGATGTGCGGGGTTTTGGAGACGAGAATTATTATTAAATTTCAGAGAGAGACCGCCGATTCGTTTCCATCCTCAATGTCGGTGATGACGGTAACGGTGCGATAGCGTTTGCCTCAAATACCCGGTTAATTCGCTCGGCAAATTAAAGGCAAATACGCGACCGCGATTTTGCAACTGATCATTTCCATCGTGCCGGACCTGCCATCGCTTTTTCCCGTTTCCTTTCCATTATCTCGTCGTTGTAAGATCTTATCTAAGTGCATCCACGAGGAAGAAGAACTTGGTTCCCTCTGGATTTGTTAACTTTCAACAATGTTCATTGAAAGATAAATTGTTCTTGCAATTGTATTAAGCTTCAAATATATTTTAAAAAAAAACGTTAATCTTTTTTTAGAAAACATTCACAGTTATGTATCTTCATTTCTATTATCTTTATACTTTTTCTAATAAAAATTGATAAAAATTAACGAAAATTATGGAAAAATCTGTGATATTGCTGGATTTTAATTTATGAACGTTCTTCTTGAGCCATGCGTTCATCTCGCGTTACTAAGGCCTTTGAACAAAATGACGGGCTTTGTTCAATTCGTGCACCTTTTTCCTATTTTCACAATGACAGAACATCGTCGTTTCATTCCTCTCTGCTCTCGTCCATTTCATCCCTTTCCTAGTTTTACACCGTTGATGTGCCGATGAAGAAGTATTTTCTTTGAGTACAATCGTACAAGATATTTCGTTGGACTCATATCTCGTCTGTTAATAATGAAAAATTTTGATAATTCTGTTTTCAAACAGAAGTTATTAAATTACTTTTTCATAAACAGTCATACGTTAGAACGACGTAATGTATTAAGCAGAATTTTAATAATATTT